CTGGTCAAGGAGTCCTGATATCAAAGGTAATGGATACCTGTTCTTGATTGTGATCTTGTTGAGTCCTCGATAGTCAACACACATTCGTAAAGATCCATCTTTTTTCTTTACGAATAGAATTGGAGCTCCTGCTGGAGATTTTGAATGGCGTATGAAATTCTTCGCTAAATTCTCGTCAATATATGTCTTGAGTTCAGCCATCTCATCTTGCGATAAACTGTAAATTGGTCCAAATGGTGGCTGAGTTCCTTCCTTGAGGTCGATTGAACAATCATATGGGCGATGCTCAGGAAAAATATCTGCATTCTTTTTCTCAAAAACGTCTTGATACTCCTGATATTGACTTGGAATGCCACTTGAAGTCTTTACGTTTTCAGAAATAGGTGCAGCATAAATAGCAAAAGTTGATCCTTCTTTTGCTGCGTGTATAAATGCTTTTGCACCTATCAGTACGGGTTTTACTGTACTAGACTTATAATTTTTTACTTGGTTTGTAGAACTATTAATAACGCTTTTGGAAAAGTCAAGTTTACGCGAATTCCAATCTATTCGAGGGTTATATTTTTCTAGCCAGGATAAACCTAAAATAACTGGATTGGACAGGGATTTAATTATGTTAAAAGCTATGTAGCTATCATGACCGTCTATTGTTACTTTTATAGGATGAGTTTCATGAGTGACATCTCCAGAAGACAAGGGACGACCATCTATGACTTCTACATGTATTGGTTTAGGTTTCTGTACAAAGGGTATTTTATGACTTTTAACAAATTGTTCATCTAAAAAACATGCTGAGGCTCCCAAATCTATAAAGCAGAGGCTTTGTAATTCTTAGGTCCTAAATATAAGTCTATTATAAAACAAGGAGAGGGTTCTGAGGAGAGGATAGGACCTTCATTAGGAATTGTACAAGGTTCCAGCTGCACGGTCCCTATTGTAGGTGGACAAATCCGTTTTCCGACATGTTGTCTTCTTTGACCGTCGTATCCCTCATTTTATAGTTGCGTCGTTTCTTTGGACAATGTTGAGCAGTGTGCTTAGGTTCTCCGCAATATAAACATAATCCTTCTTGACGACGACGAATCTTTTCTTGCTCAGTTAGGGGTTTAAAACGTACCGCGTCAATTTGCATGTCTTCTACTTCCGAATGTACGTTTGGCAAAGATGTTGATGTTGCCATTGAGTAATAACGTTGAGGTTCCCGTGAATGATTCTCAGATCGAAATTCAAAAAGTCAATTATCACATTTTACCGCAAAATCGATTGCTTGACTCAAAGTTTGAGGATCAGATAAGTTGAGCATCAATTTCTTTACTTCGTATTGCAATCCATAAAGAAATTGACTGATGAGTGCAGCATCATCCCACTTGATGTCAATTGCAAGTTGTCAAAATTGTGAAGCATATACTGTTACTGAGCGATTTCCTTGTCGCAGAATTCGGATCTTATTTGTTGCAACACGAGTTGCATCGTGTTCACCATACATAGATCGAAACTCTGCCAAAAAAGCTTCCAATTTGTCCAATATTGGATTTCGTTGTTCAAGAAAAGACGAAAACCACGATAATGCAGAACCAGAAAGTAGAGTGCCAATAAACCTGACTTGTGATCCTGGAGTTGGATAGCTTTGCGGTTGAAGTTCAATTGCCAATTGTACTTGATTGATGAACCCTCGAAACTTTGATCTCGTACCATCAAATTTCTCAAGTAAGGCAATTCTTGGTTCTCTAGTGCTTATAGGGTGTTGCACAATTGGAGAAGGAACGTGATTTGTTGTAGATGTTGAAGCAGCTCCGATCATCTCTATATCTCCACTTTCTGCTATTCTTGTTCTTTCATGTGTTGGTGAATTGAGTTGATGCATCGCAAGCATTAACTCCCTCATTTGCTCTTGCATTTGTGCCATTGCACTCTTCATTTCAACAAGTTCTGCCATAATGACACTAAGAAGAAAAATTTGTTTGATATTGCTCAAGACAAAAGAAAAGAAAGACTTGATAACAAAGAAGATACTAAGAACAATATCAGTTTAGAAGTGGGTAATCCGCAAACTTCTAATACGCTTATGTCTTGTCAAGAGAAAGGGGTAATCCACTCTTACTCAAGAAAAAACAAAGCTCTGATATTGTAAGTGTACTCTTGTCAATCTGTCAAAGGACAAAGACTCGATGAGGAAAAATATACACCAAAAGGCTATCTCGATATAATAAGTCAAAATATAAACAAGTAGGTATATTAAAAGGAAACTGGAATGGCTATTGCCACAAGACAAGAAACTAAAGACTCTTGAACCTGGACTAGAAGCAAGAAAGGAGTTGACAAGAGTGAAGAGGGCTTCACTCTTGCCTCTATATATACTATCTAACTAGAAGCCACATGGCAATGTTCTATAAGACCTCCAATATATGTTGACTTTCTAGGCCACATGCCTTTGCTTGCAAGGCAAGTTTTCTATGGATGGACCACGTAGTTAGCTTGTTCTTTAAGCTTCCAACATGTGTGGCACATGGCTAACTTGTTGACCAAGTTTCTAGCCTAAAAGTCAACTATAGACTCCTATAAAGTCAAAACAGCGTCTATGAAGCTTCTAAGAAGCTTCTCTAGAAGATATTACACAATTAACTTACTTTTATCTACTTTTACATACTTTTATCTATTCATATAGGTAATTATATGTATGTCCGTGACATCTGTCAAGGACAAGAATTCGATGAAAAAGCAATTCGGACAAGTGAGCCTTCACTCAAAGAAAGGTAACAAAATATAAATAAACAAGTATGTATATTAAAAGAGAAATTGGAATGGATATTGCCAAAAGACAAGAAAACTAGAGACCCTTGAAATTAGACTGGAAGCAAGAAAAAAATTGACAAGAGTGAAGAAGGCTTCACTCTTGTCTCTATATACACTATCTAACTAGGGACTATGTGGCGACGTTCTATAGGACCTCCAATATATGTTGACTTTGTAGGACACATGCCTTGACTTACAAAGCAAGTTTTTCTATGTGTGGGCCACATAGTTAGCTTGGTCTTCAAGCTAACAACATGTGTGGCACATGGCTAACTTGTTTACCACGTTTTTAATCAGAAAAGTCAATTAAAGACACCTATGAAGTCAAAGCAGCGTGTATAAAGCTTCTAGGAAGCTTCTATATTAAATACTATAGAATTAATTTACTTTTACTTATTTTTACTTATTTCCACATATTTGTATATGTAATTACTAGCTTACATGAGTATGTCCCTGACAAGTGGTTGGTTGAACATTACAAATAAGATCAATTGTTAAATTTGAAAGTTCTTAATACATGCTATATGGAGTTTGCCTTTTAAAGTCAAGATATTTCAATAAAATAATGTATTGTTAGTTTATCTCATGAATGGTGTGAATGTAATGATTATGGTCCAATATGTAAATATATGTGGATTATGAAATGGATTATCAATGAAGAATATTCATATTTATTGGATTTATTATCAAAGCGCATACAAAGACAGTGGCTTCTTCAACTGAAAAGTTGTTTTTGATGATGGCCCAAGTGATGTATCATATGATAGTCTAAATAATGGACCAAATGATAGTCTAAGCAATGGAGGAGATAATGGAGTTCATATTCTTAGGAATGAATACATGATTGTAAAAGTAGATAATAATATTACATTACATAAAAAAGGATGCAATGTTGACCAAGATGTAGAATTTTTTTTCAAAGATTTAAATTTTTTTTTATTAAGAATGAAGATGCAAAATTTGGTGTTTTGAATAAAGATTTGATTTAATTTGATGATAGTTCATATGTAATAATTACCATTATATATAATAAAGACTTATTTTAATGGTGGTTTTTATGACCTCAATATTATAATTATTGCATTTATATTAGTTATAAAACTATTTAGATACATAATGGTTGTAGAAAATATTTTATGATGTGTAAAATATTTTAAAAGAAATTTTATGCCATTTTTAATAAACTTATTTTAATTTAAATATATAATAAAAATAAATTAAATTAAAATGTATCCAATTTATATTTAATTTCTTTCAAAAAAATATAATCAATAATTAATCTATATTTATAAAATATTTGTATTTGAAAAAAAATTATTTGTTAATGAATGTGTATTGTTAAAATTCTTCTATTGCAAAAATATCATGTGTATGTATGAGTGCTGTTGTTTATGGCAACAAAAAAATCATTTTGAAGCAAGAGTAATACTTCACCTATACAAACCACACAAAATATAGTTTTCATCACTAATTTCTCCTTAGTGGTAAAAAAATGGTCTTTAATCATATCCATTTGTAATTTTTTCCATCCATTTTTCACCACCAATTTCTCCTTAGTGGTGAAAAATGGTCACCATTCATGCCCATTTTTTATTACTTCCATCCTTTTCACACAAATCCATGTCTTGGTGGTGACAATCACTACCCATTTTTACTTGCTAAATTTTTTCCCCTCCCTTCCTTTTCCCTTTGTTGTGATTGCCACCACTTTTCTCTATGAGGGGGCACTACTCCCCTCATAGTATGTAGGATTTGCCATCCCCCCGTCCTACTCCACTAAGCGACTTTTGAGAACTTATTTTGTGGAAGACCACTCACCCATGCTGTCCCGCCGTGCATGGTTGGCGCGAGGAGACGGTGGCTGGGACTCGCTGCCACCCTCCCTTGCCGGGCCGCGTGCTCAGCCAGTTGTCTCGCGTTCCCTGCGCGATCCCTATCTCCACAGTTCCCCCGCCTTACCCGTCCTCGGCGCTTCCCGCAAGCTCCCTTGCCCGCGCTGCCAGTTTCCCCCGAGATCCTCTGCCCCCCCCCCCCTCTGCTTTCCCCATGAGTTCTCAATAGACCCTGTAACGGCCAGGATTCAATCTGGGAATCCGACGGTCCAGATGTCTCGATCCGGTCGATTGACCAAGGAGGTTTTTGCAACACGTAGTTACGAGGTTCTGCGACACGATTCTACGAGGGGCGAGGGGGGGGGGGGAGGGGGGGGAGGAGGCTTGTTCGTTGTCTTCTTCGCTGCTGCCACTCTGTGTTGAGTCCATTTTTATGTGCGTTGTTGCGGTTTCGCAACGATTGTCTTTTAGATGGCGCTGGATTGGGGTGTGGCTGGCTCTCGGTATTACGGATCACTCCTACTGCCGCCAAATCTTGGATTCCGTCGGGTCGTATGATCAGGAGTCGTGGTTCGGTACCCTAGGGGGAAAGTGGTTGTTGATGTGGAGGGGGATTCTTAGCCAATTCAGCGAAAGCACGGGATTATCATCAGCACGGTGGCCTGCTGGTTAGGGATTGCCTCGGCTTACCGAATCTGTTCTGAAGCATCGGGACGGTTCATTGTTGTTGGAGGTTTGTATTGTAAGATAGTTCCAGAGTTTTGAGTTTTGGAGTGACTTAGTTTGGTGTAGGGGTGGTACAGTGGTGGATAAGGGTCGATTGAAGCTCTCGTGGTAGGGCTGGCGCGCCTCGTGTGGCATCATGGATTGAGAAATGAAACAGGCCGTGATCTTAGAATTGGTGTGCTACAGCTGTTTTTCGATGTGCGGGGGGATTAGCGAGTGATAGTGTATTTTCGTGGGTTTGCCGGTGTGGTGCAAGGACGGTTGGACCTTGCGGGGAGGGAAGTGATAGCCATGGATGATTTCGAGGAGGACAGGATGGGGCTCGGAGGAGAGATGTCGGTTGCACAGAAGAACGGCCGAGCGGCGTTGTTTGGATATACTGTAGCGGCATCGCCGGGGCAGGCTTGGTTTGATGTGCGGGTGATCTATGTTAGGGTTACGGAGTGTCCGCTTGACGATGCACCGGAATCGTTGACCATTCGATTCCCTGCAAGAAGTATTGGTACAGCGCTGGAAGTGAACGGGGCCCGAATTAGCCCCTCGGAGGAAGTGTGCTTGGTGTTGAAGCGAGACAGAGTTGACACGGATTCTTCGGAAGCGACCTATCTGAGCACTGATAATTTGCGCACTAGCGGCTCACTTAAGTTCGAAGTCTTACATAAAGAAGAGGTCCTACTTTGTGGTGCTCTTGAGCAGTCGCAACCCGCCGCAGATGCTGAAGAGTATAAAGGATCTGAAGCTATCAGCACGCCCGAAAAGACCACCAAGCTTGGGTGGACGATGGAATGCGCCTGTGCGGTGGGCCAGTCAGGATGTGTCTTTCTGAAAGGAAGGCATGATTATCCAAGCGTGGCGCTGGCGCATCCTGTCATGGAGGTGTGCGTGGTTGGGCGTTTCGCAGGGACTCCGGTGATCTTGACACAGACTGTGCAGATATTGGCGCGTCGTAGACCTAACAGACAAGCCACTCTTGATGCCATTCCCGAAACAGAAGAGGTTACATGCAATCAACCGAGGTTTATGGATGTGGATCAACCTGTACGGGTGAGACTTGCACATTTTTTCTCTCCTTTAGACGTAATTTCCGGATCAGTGGAAAACTGAGTTAAGCACAGTTTGTGATGTTCAATTTTTGCTGTACTAGATGAACATTTATGTTGTTCATTAAATCATATTTGGATTTGGTGTACTTTCGTTATAGAGCAGTTGAAATTTTTCATGTTTGTCTCAGTTTATCAGTTGTTGAGATAATTATAGTGCACGGTATGATGTAACAGGAATGTTTCAGGTGTGTTACAAAGTCCTTCGCGCTTTGCACACATATTGACAATTCATGTGATTTTGCAGGGAAATCAACCAGATCTCTTTATGGACCATGCTGATAAAGCTATCACAAGTTTCGGTTATGCTTTGGAAGGGAGCCCGTACGGGGATCAGGACAACGGGCAGTTGACGTGGTTCAACGCAGGTGTCAGGGTAGGGGTTGGTATCGGCTTGGGCATGTGCCTGGGTGTAGGTATTGGTGTCGGCTTAATGATTCGGACCTATCAAGCAACAACGAGGACCTTCAGAAGAGGATTGCTGTAGCTTCATTCTTACTAACAGGGTTATTTCATTGGTGATCAATGGGCTCTTATCAGCAAGGTTTGCTTAAAGTTTTGTACGTAGAAGAGGTGTTGAGGGTTCTCGTAGAATATGTTTTAATTCTCAGAAAATGGACATTTCCAGGACTGGAATCAAAGCAATTCATTGAATTCTAGCAGGATGGTCAGCATTTATGATTGTTTGACCTTGCTGTGGGTGAAAAATGTTTAGGGAATACCTTAAGAGTAGCCAGTGGATGCCATGAAGCGTCTGGTGAATCCGAAGCAGTTATTGCTGCCGGAGCTCTTGGTTTTTGTCGAGAGGTCACGAAGTCTTCTTCTCTTATCAGCCATAGATACACGGTTGGTTTAGATGCGCACACTCAGTTCCTGGTTGATGTAATGTTAGTTTGATGATTGAGACTCCAGATATGTAACTGTGTATATTTTGTAATTTCATGAGGTGCTTGATACACAACAGAGATCGTACATCTGCCCAAGGTAACGATTCCTGAGTGTGCAGTGCAGCTGCTGCTTATCAGAGATTCTGTGTGCGACGAGGTGGCTTTTTGTCGTCAGTCTCGCATGGTGTTTGACACGTATTGGGTTCCGATACTTGCTCACTGAACTAAAACAGTTTCACTAGGAGCGTAGGATAATGTAGCCCATATCGCTGGCGGCAGATATGACGTCGGACCACCGGTTCTTGAGAACTAGTATTAAATTCGGTATGATTTTGCGCAAGCATAGGCACGTTACCGCCTAACACGTCATTGAACTTTCTATTGTAGACAAAGTCCATTGTCTGCCCTTCCTAATATTTACCGTGCAAGCAATTGAAAGACCATAGCAGAGTAAGCCGTTTCTTAACCGCGGTATTTGACCTTCAGTTTGAGGTGGACTTTATTGAGATGCAACACCGACTGAGAGTATCCTGGAATGAAAATAACTAACCTCTTGTCGACAGTGTCCACAGGAAGTGATTGTGCTCTTCTTTCTTGTCACAGTTTTTAGTTAGAAGTTGCCCACTCCACCAGATCTTAAATTTTACAGTCTTTGAGAATTTACTCATTCAGTGATGCAATGTCGATTCCAAACAACCAAAATGTTACTTATGAAAAATTACAAGTTTTACTGTTTGATCGAAACTAGAGAGAACTTGGAATCTTGACCAGTATATTAATGGCAGGCACATCTGACTTAATGAGTGATGAGAGATGTGTATCTCCACAAGCTCTTGATGTGTAAACTTTCAATCCAGTAGTAATCAAGAAGCGGTGTGCGCACCAGCTGGGTTACCATGCAGTGTTTGTATAATCGTTTAAAAAAAATATATGGAAGAGTTGCTATTTGCTTTGTCCTAAAAAATAGGAAATAATACAGGAGAAATGAAGAGGCTATTTACAGAATCTGTAGTCCATACATTTGCGTGGTGCTACGAACATTGCAATGTATGGTTAAAGGAAAAATGACACATGCAGATAAGTATTAATTTTCCTTCGGGAACATAGATCATCTCCCTACCAAGTACCTCGAACTCACTGCTCAATCAAAATCCTCCAAATTATTATGTACTATCACGCTCCAACACATTTACCAACACAAAAATGGCTTCACACGCTCACGCAAACCTACTTAAGTGGGGCCCTGTCCATATCCGGCAACTCTTCCATTGAAGTCCACCACCTTTTATCTTCCAAAGAAGCAGTCGTCTCCGAACGAATACGAGTAATACGAGAATGCGTTTTCGTCGTTCCTGTGCTAGTTGTAATTCCTCCTTCAGACCCCTCCGGCACCCATGCCCCTGTCACTGGATCTGGCCGCCACCACTTCACCTGCTTTGTTGACGGTGTGGGATCCACGGTATGCACCTTCTCTGGATTAACACTTACGACGGGCCGATTCACGAGTTCCTCGAGGTCTAGAGATGTGATTCTACTCTCTGAGGCGGGCTCTGAACTTTTCTCCTGCTCCTTGGTGCTTCCACACATGATATCGGCACCTGTCGCCATTCCCCTCACTCCACAATCACTGCATAAAAACACACCGTACTGTTTAACCATCCCAAAATGATGAGTCGTTGAGTAGAGTTGACGCGCTATGTTGCATATTCCTACCATGTCAGCCGAGAATTCTAATCCCACTCGATTGTCAACGATGGCGACCATGATTTTCAACCGGCATATAGCTTGGCACAATTTGCGAATGCAACGTGAAAAAACCATCAGGTATTACCTAACATGATTGCCGTGGTGAGATTCCAAAGCGGAGAAGTGCTCCTTTTCTAAGGAAGGTACCAATGCTATACATGGACACACTTCAAATCGATGTTGTGGAAGTTTACAAGGCGGCGTGTGCAATATGCCACGTCTTAAACGTGCGACAAGTATAGATGAACAGACCACGAATTAAGAATGTACACACTTTTTCAATCGTTTGAAAGGTCTTCGATCGTAGCTAGAAGTACTTACTTGAAGGCGACGACCATTCTATTGTCAGTGACTGTGGCAGAGGACAGCAGCCGATGCACAAATCCGGGCGACGTCACTGCCGTCGCCTGCAACTGCCTCAACAGTGCTCCCTTCATCTTCAATCGAGTCGACCTAAGCTGAATATTCAACAATGCTCGTCTTCTTTAGCAACTTCACTTGCCTTGTTTACTGCAATCACAAATTGCAAATCTAATCGCAATGTCAATTCATCACAATATTCTAGCTTGTAAAAGCACAACATTCATTACATAAACATATGTCTTCAGAAATGAGGAACTCATGCCTCGGTACTGATGTACAAAAACTTTGAGCAGCAGCTGCACCTGCACAGACATCCGAGACCTCACGTATGAATGTTATATCAACTAATATGCCATGTGAGGGTCGCAGAATACATAAAACTTCTTTCAGAGGCAGCTTCCAAGGGTCTTCAAATCATTCGAATGACTGGCTTCGAAAAACTGTGATCCTCACATGTACTACCCATTCAACAGCTTTCAAGTACTTAGCCTGCCTTCTCATGTTGCGGAAAATCTGATAAAAGTCCAGCTGGGACACCAAAAAATTACCAGCTTTGACGTGAAGGATGGCGTCGACAGGGCTGCGGCAACACCACCGAAATCAGTCCCAGAAGAGGCTTCAAAATGTGCCAAGCAATCTGCCGGTTGAAGCCGGGCAACGAAACAGCACTACCCTTCAGATTCAGCCAACCCCATGCACGGTGCGTATTGTGCAACCGTAGGAAACGACGCCATGCGAAACGCTGCTAATCAAAATTTCGCTACCTCATCGTCAGATGGGGGGATAATTTTCGTGAAGATTTGGTGAGGAAGACCGACTCCAACAAGCACTGGACACCGTCGCCGCTTCTCACAAGCAGTGCCGCCACATTTAGCGGCCGCCTCGTTCCCAAGCTTGGTTCCCATGAAATAGGGAACGCTATCTGGTCTGTTGGGAACGACGTTCGTGATCTCGCGCAGCATTACTCTCAGCTAATCGGTCAGCTGTTCGAACCCTGGCAAGTGCATTACTTCAAGCTAATATGTTGAAATTCCTTCATTTGGAATTGTTTGGCTACTGTCATATAAGAGGTTGGGTATCTCCACATATATTGTTTTAATGTATCCTCCATGTAGTGGAAATGGAGTAATGTTGTAGAATTGAATATTGGGAGTCTCAACATGTTTGTGAAACATGTTTGTGAAAGATGGTCTTTGGCTACTTTGAAGTTATAAGGTAATCAATAGTTATACCATGAATGTGCATTGATATGGACAATTCTAACTATTGTGGTCTATACTATACGTCATGTTTGGAGTATTCACATTTTAGAAAATATCTTATAAATGGATTAAATTATATGTGCATTTCTTTTAATGTTGAATATCTTTGATGTGAGATTCCTGAAGTGATATTAGAATATAGACATACTCTCACAATTAAATTTTTTCCGCACAATCTACATTTTGCAAGTCACAAACTCATACAATACTATGAAGATTCAAAACTTTCTAGCACAGGTAAAACGCAAAATGCAAGCTATGTTAACCGCAAATGCAAGACATGTCGCAGAAATGCGTCTGGAATACATGTTTTTAATGGTCACAACAGCAGAATGAGTCTAATTCAATAAAGCTTCACGCTGGCACCAAATACCACAAAACCAGATCGATGGGCGTCGCTTTTGGTGCAACAGAAATCATTTCTCTTTGCCTTGAGAATCAAAACATGAATCCAGTCAAACGTAGCACTGCAAGAGTGTTGGTTTCAACCAGAAGGAAAACTGCAGCTTTAGGTTGACACTCATAAGTATATGCCGTGTTGAAGGATTATATTGTGATGATGAGGTTTCGCGGTTTTGCTAACATGGGCCATGTCTTTGACGATTGCCAACTGATGGCCTGAGCATGTGAGGTGTGACTGCCCTGCAATTGAGTTTGAAGGTTCTGCATGGCATACATACACTTTGGGCAAGACCTTTGGTCCAGAGCAGCTCCCATCATCAGTCAAAATTGAGACTAGGACCGAGAAATTGCATCATCGTTGATGAGTGGTTATATATATATCAGCGTGAAGAACATTTGTTTTCTTCTGGAAGTGTGCTAGATTGCTATTGACCGAGCGGAAGATCTGGTCTGCTGTAATACCCGCTACCTCCCCTAATTTGCCACTCAACTATCATTTATCAGAATTAGGACAATTAGAGTGTACACATGTACCCACACCCACATATCTACGCATAAGTGTGTGTGTGAGTGTATATATATATATATATATATATATATATAGTGTAGCGAGAAGATATCTGACACATTTCAACGTGAGGTTCATACTAGGATGCAAGCAGAACTAGGTACCCTTCAGAGGTCAACTTTGATCACAATTTGTCTTGAAGCAAAATCGCCCATTAAAGCTATGTCAAACCTGATGTCAGCGGCCTGCATTTAACCATCTATTCCACAAGTTAGCAGATCAAATACCCAATGCGAAGATTTGCATGAGATACGAAGACACAAAATTTCTATATGGTGGGTTGATTCCGAATTTACAATCGTTACTCATAAATTTCGTGGTTTCTGATTCCGTACAACTTTTATATACGAGGTGATCCCAGCAGCCCTAGCTGTAAGAGAATGCATCAGGTCATACAATTGTCACAGGTGAAATATTGTGTACCTCGCTTCTGTCTTCGAAGTTCCTCAGCTTCTACGTAGCTCTCTTAAACTATACTAGTTATTCTTGTTTCAGTTGAAGGAGTAGTCTGAACCTTTAGTTTTGGATTCACCATCGCATCCTCATGAAAGTTATCGCCGCGCAATGCAAGTGGATCAAATACAGAATTTTCTCGCCACGGAAATACTTTTCTTTCAGATGTCCTCTTTTCTAGGCCTCGAACAGGATTACGGACACAAAAGTTCTTACTCACGTTCTGGGGGACTGCGAGCATTTTCCTATCTGAGATGTTCAAAATGGAATCTTCGCTGTGAACAGCGGAAGAGACAAAACATTATTCAACGTTACTCGTGTTACGATCAAGTCACTACAACTACCAAGAGCCCAACATGAAGATCCCGAGCACGAAATTTTTGCCAGTGAGAATTCAATACGACTTGTAATGAGTTCTGTAAAATAGTAAAGTGATCGTACCTGGCAATGTAGGCCTCATCACTAGTGATATGCGAGCCTGAAATTCCTGCAATGAGAGCTCTTCGATGTTTGTAAGCTTTCTCTTTAGATGTATCCAGGGGTCCGGAAAATGCAGAGGGATTAAGGACGTTTCCAGATGCTGGACTAAATGAAGCTGAGGACTGCTTAGCGCCAAGCCTAAAAGACTGCCGCGCAGCTGGTCGGGTTAGCACCCTGGAACTCTTTAAATCCGTCTTCTTAAGTGATAGATCGGAAACAATTTTCTCATTCTTTCCTAGGCCTCTTCCTGACTGCACAAGCGCTTCAGGGACATCCAGAGCCACTTCTCTGCACATTGCATAGTCGCAATCGTCATTCCTGACCTTTCGGACACGCGGAGCACGACGAATTCGGCTGATGTCCTCTTTATCAATCACCTGTAAGATTGTTTGGTTCTTTGTATCCTCCAGAAATTTAGAGAGGCTTCTGACCTCTCTCCCTGGTTCTACAGCAGGTCTCTGCTTCCTTTGAAGCCTCCAATTTAGGGTTCCAGTTTTAGTTGAGTGAGGCAGGCGGGGTTCCATAGTGGACCCTGATCCATGTCTAGTTGATGGTATGTATCGAGAGTAAATAGGTTTCTCCACCGTCACAGCTTGCAATCTTTCCACGACTTCCACTCTCCTGCAGATTTGTGACCTAGGAAACCTGGCTGTTTTCTTCAGCATAAACGTGAACGCATACCCTGGAAAACATGCTTGAGTCACCGGACTAGATGGTATATCGCCGATGCAGGCCGTGGAACTGCAGTCATAGAATTCATCGTTGGACCTTCGTGAGGTCCTACCTTTAACTGGTGTAGGGTTAACCTCTTCCTCCACCACCCAAGTTTCACTTTTCACGCACTCCTTTCTGGATACCTCTAATGACGGCAACGGGAAGGAGAGGATTCCACCATGGTTAGTCGACTGCATGACCGCGCTTGCCGGCATCTCCTTAGATTCAACGTGCGAATCCTCTTCGGAGGACAACTCACAGGATGCATCTGTTGAAAAGTCGTCTGTAGATGAATCAGTTTCTTTCGTGCTTTCCAGGCATCTCTTATTTTCAATAAAAAGTTCAGGTACAAATGAACTTGATCTGGATCTGCTAACATCGCTGGGTTCAATGCGACACGCATTAGTTGCAGTATCACTGACAGCGGGGCCGTTCACGGGTACTTGCTTCCATTCCGACCAATCGGTAGAAGTTTCTTTGGGTCTGTCAACTTTACAGAGTTCGTTGAGCTTGGGGATAGGATCCATGTCTCTGGGGACATTATTCACCAATGCTGTTCCCGCCACTCGGCTTGGCTGCACTGCTTCTCGGCCCAAGGCATCTGCAAGCGTGGGGATGATGTCTGGTTAGCCTAGCACACATTTCTTAATCGGCCAAAAAAACATCTAATCTCACTTACAGAAATCTTCTCGTAAATGACTAAGTTGCCCATGCAACTTGATCGCCTCCATGGGATAGAGTGGTTGAGGTCATTCTGGGCAATTCATGTTTCGGGCAAGTACCTCTCGGAGATTCGACAACCTCAAGAGCCTTTAAAACATATTCGCCACTTTCGCTGAGTGGAAGAATAAAGTCATCGTCAACCACGTCACACCAAACAAAGGCTCCTCTGTAGCACCTGAAAATCAGAAGTGGGGCAGTCCTCAGTTCTTAGAAACAAACCAATTTTGGTAATCTATGATCACCGGAAACCACCTCCAGTGTCATTTTCAGCTGCATCTGCAAAGCCCAGGTTCTTGTTTCAAAGCATACGCACGTCGCCTCTAGAAGTATCATCATCGAATTTGTGGATTCAACCTTACAGGCAACCTAGGAACCTCATTGAATTTGAAAAATACATATGCAGTCTAGAGAATGAACTTACCTTTTGTAGGACCAAGAGTAAGAATCCGACATGCCACTTCCGCGTAGTGCAGTCAAACGCAACTTCACATCTGTTCATTTCCACATGGAATGTTACCGAGAATATTTCTATAGCAGCCAGAAGAGCTCACAATGATAAGTTATGTATCAGGATCACCTTACTGCGTATGGAGAAGAAACTTCAGTTCAGAAACATCAGCAGGTAGAAGTTCCAGAATGTCAAGGAAGAACTGCTGAAAGTATTAGGGAGAATGGATGCTGAGTGAATTTCATTGCACCAGCACCAGTAAATTCTTGATTTGAGTTTGGTGTAAGCGTCTAGACATACCTCTCAACGTAGGGGCTTGTTGGTGGGCAGGGTAGTGCACTTGAATCAAGTGCGGATGATCAGCCTGACCGCTCCCCTGGCTAAAGAGGTAAAGAACTTCAACTTTGAGATAGATCTCATCAGTAGAACCCATTGTAAGGGCGACAAATCTTGGCTGGTTCAGTGATCTCTGAATGCGTCTTCACAAGAACCCGTGCACATCAAAGCTTCGAAGAGTCTACGAAAGTGATGTATATTTGTCGGATTTTCAGAAAGAATGTACCTTCATCACTTCTCCAGCGACCACTTGGAGACTTGCATTCAGCAATGTCTCATGGGAACTAATCAAATTCAGCTGCGGGTCTCATTTGGGAACAATAGGTACTAGCAGGAGAAATCCTCTTAAATGTGTGCTCATAGTTTAGTCGGTAGGAATTGTAGATAAGAACTGGAGAAGACCACCGAAAAGCTCGTTGACAAGAAATGCACGCAGTGTAGCAAGCAGTCCAGTTGTGGAACTAAAATCAAGCTGGTAATTCGACATCAGCTCATCGGCCAGCTACGCAACTCCGCGTCCTCGTCACAGAAACAGATACAACGACGGTATTAAATGACTAAACTGCAGTTCGATAGAGACAAAACGCAAGAAACTCAGATCTGCAGCAGCCTACAGAGCACATACTGTGCGCCCACGGAATTGCTGATTAAGCACTTGGAAGTGCGTGAGCCAAGGAAACCATGAACAATTTGATAGTTGCGGACTCGTACTGCAGGTGATCGCTACAACTATGACTGCATTACATTAGTGAGGATAACAGTCACTCAACTCAGAATGACAATGATGCACCCTTCTACCACCTCTGTAACCTAACTCAGTTCATGGATGCGATATCTATTACACCTCCACGCAATAGACAGCAGCGCCATAGTATGAGGGGAGTGATGGCTGACATATCAATTTAATGAACCATTTTGAAAATGTGCATCTGTCCCTATTCGAAGGATGATTGTTCTTCCGCTTTTACTTTGTTTTTTTTTTTTTTTTTTAAATAAGCGGGTACGTGAAAATTACAAAAGAAAAGCTACATTCTGAGACTCAAGCACTCTTCAATTGGCGAAAACCTGATTAAAAATCACATATACCCACTCCAACGGATTTCGCATCAAAATGCTTCTCGAACCAAGTTACCTTCTAGTTCGACCACCTACTTAACCGTTGCAAATTTACGCAGATTTGAGTGATTATCAACGACGACAGAAATGAATCCAACTTCAGCTGTACACACCATCTTCGCATTCAACTAGGTTGACGACCATTCACTGTCAGAGGCATTTGCAAGCAGACTGTAAACGGAAGACAGAGACAAGCAGCTGGGTAGTGGAGCAAAGGGGGGTCACAAGCTTTCCCAGCCAGGTAGTCATAACTCCAGGCCATAAAGAGAGCAATCAACGCAGATAATGCTGTTCACCACCTCAAAACCTGGTTCAAAACCCTCTCGAATATTAACTATTTTTCCTTTTTGCCCTTTTTATCTGGTTCAATTTCTCCTCTGCGGCATTGATGCCACCCTGTCGCAGAAAGCATCACCAATTGTTGGGTAACCATGACTGAAATCCCATGGACGTCACGAAGAAGCTCTTCTTCAATTGCAGCGGATGCTTCTACACAGCAGCGAATGCGATCCCAACCTTCTGGCCAGTGAATGGACAGCCCTGCTACCGTTGGATGGTGTAATGGCGACGCTGCAGGGATTGAATGCAGTAGCGCGTTTGAATCGGGGATTGGAAACGGAGCAGGAATTGAAAGAAGAGGCGGCATTGAAAGCCCACGTCGTGGTTATAGGGACGGTGTGTTGTCTTGGAAGGCCCCCCCCATCCCCGCGCTCTGGATGCAGCTTCGTTTCAAGTTACAGCTTCATTTCAGCGTTCATATTCACTAAATGAACTCTATATGAAGCTGTATCTTTTTATTGAATGAAGTTTTACTACCTAAACAGAAAAAAGAAAAAAGAAAAACCTCTAAAAATCATCATAAAAATTCATAAAGTAATTACGGTGAGCCTCTCCAAATATAGATATATGTATATGTATATGCATGTATAATGGTAATTAAAATGATGGGGGTAGAACTGACCCAAAATAGCTCCCCTGTCCTTCAGAGGAGGGTGCTTAGCAATGTTGGGGTACATATATATTATTTCAATCACTCTCAATTTAGATGACGTTTCTTCCAAATAGAATCACCTCAATTGGCGATTTTGTTAATGACCAATTTTAGACTTGTGTGTGGTGTTCTGGACTTCTTTCTCATGTTAATAACATTATATTTCTTCTAGACCTCCAATATGTATGTATGTATGTATACATATATATATATATATATATATATGTGTGTGTGTGTATGTGTGTGTATATATATTTTTCTATACATACATACAGAATATCTAGTTATTTATGTTTAAAAAAGTACTAAAAATCCATCTTGATTAGTAACATTTATACCGTACACAGAATCCACTTTTGGCTGGTTCAAACATACTCTCATTCACATCAATCACCCTGGATAAATTTCAAAATTAGGAAATAAACCATGCATTTAATTAAGCTACACTTTAAAACTTATGCAAATGTACTTGATGGTAATAATATTTAAATCACCTTAACCTAAAAATAGTACAACATTTAAATATATTCACTAGTCTCTAAACTGTTTATAGGATATTTCTATCTATTATAATTGCACTTACTTGAAAACAGTCAAAGTCATGCTCCAATAATTGATATTCAAATGCATACTCTCAGGTACGTATGCATTTTTAATTTTCAATTTTTATACTACAACTCTATATAAAATATTAACAGAAATATATATTATTTATCCCAGTGTAAGACAAAGTCAATATGACAATCTGGGATGAGGTCATGTAGGTTCTCCTTTCTATTTATGATACAATAGGTAATTGAAAGATTATTAATAAATATGAAAAGAATTTATAGAACTAGTTGGTGAATTTGAACACTTCAATGTTTTTTTCTTTAGCAATTAGAATTGAAAAAATCCACATGCTATCTGCAGCATTTAATGATATGGTAGCAGATTGGTTGCCTGCTTAAGTCAATTGTTTTGTTAACTATGGCATTAGTCATGTGCAACAATTTATTGATGCACAGCTATCAAAACACTGATGAAGGACTAAATTCTATGCCTGAATGAGTCAGGATTTGGACCCCACTCACAAAAATCTATATTCCACTGTTAGGTTTCAATGAAGGGGTATTTTATTAGGATAACTAGTCGTTTTCAGATATCACAGTTATTGAAAAATCCTAATGAATACTTATTGTAGCACACTTCAAAACATGGTGATGTGGTGGTTTGAGAAAATAGTTAAGTTAAAAGTATAAATAAAACCCCACAATGTTACAAGTTTCAATAGTATCCCAATAATACACATTTGCAGAGGAAGGGATGATGGATTATGTGATCCATGTTCATGTACAGTAACTCTTGACTAAAGCGATGATTCCAGGCAACATAGAAATTACATCTCCAAATACAAAGATTGTGCAATGACCCTGGCAGCTTGAAGAAGATTGGCAGGCGGTAGCTTCTGTAGAATACTCTGCATCAGGTCCTCTTCCCCACTGTCAGTGAGACGCTGCAACACTGACTGGTTCGCAGAACCGTGACATCGCTTACTGGCGGGACTGACAGTATCTGTGCCATGATCTGACACAGGAAAAATAGTAATTTAATTTGACATCTACAAGGCTAATTTACAGTCTGCATTGACTATACATAATGGTGAAGGTACAGAGAACATAGAATTTATGAAAATGTACCTGGATTAGCAGCAATTTATTATACCTTTGCTTCCAGAATGACAGTTTACACTAAGTCCTTTACTTCTTTCATCAAAGCCCATTTAGATTGATAGCAGTCTCACAACCAAGGAGTGCCTTTGTATAGCCAGCGTATATGTTTTTTCTTCCTTTTGAATTTTGAGCTCTGAGGCCGAACACCAGTGAATCTTCCAGCCTGACAACTCAATAGTGAGTTAGCATGCTTTTCAAACAAACGGGCGCTCCTCCTTTGCGGGGTGTGCTGACTGCAACCGCTGCAAGGCTTTGTGTTCTCATCATCTTTGTTGATATCTTCTTGTTCTGGAATTCAATCGGCAAACCCATGATTTCGTTCACTTATTAATGCCGATTTATACGTGATAATCACCGACTAAGCTACAACTTGTTACAGTTCTACATCTGAGATTCGAAATTAAAAGTTTTCTCTGGAATACAAGAGCAGAGATGCAGAAGTGGGGGCCGCAGTTTCTCACCTGAAGGATATAGTGACTCCACTGACACTAAGAGCGATCGCTTGTTCTCTCTCAATTTAGTTCGTAGCCAGTATAGCGGACCTCCTCGGATGCAACCGTGCGACTGTGCGGCCACTTTTGCGGATGGTAGGCATTAATGAGGAATCCGCTAACGGATAATGGCTGACCGTAATGGCGGAGACTGTGGCTGCAGAGGGTGCAGGCGCTGCCACCTTCGCCGACGATCTCACATGGTTTTCTTTGAAAATGCTATACCGGGAGTTTATAGAAACCAATATTTTTCCACCATTCCTTTTGCCACCCCTTGCTCTCAACCAATACTTGGAGGTGCCGACGCTCACTCTTGGCTGGACCGTCTTTAATTTTTAACAAGCCCAGCAGGCATCACAAGTCTAAAGTATTTACGGCCTTTAACCTTCATAAAACAATCAAGCAAGACAAAAGGCATCCGAGTAGTTCAATCAGCTGTGCATTACTATGCCGCATGAAATGAAGGTAAATCGACAAGTTTCACACATTTCCAAAACGAGGTGCGATTGGGAGCTAAATTGTGAGAATAAACTGCAACACTTAGGAAGGTGTAACTGTGTCTTAGAAAATCCAGTTTTTGAGTCGGCAAAGCAGCATGAAACATACAGCTGAAAAGTGCCAGGTCCTACGCTGATCTGCGAGAGTTATCCCAATTCCAGTGAGCTCTCAGTAACTTTACACTCAAAACATACAATGAATGAGTGGATGAATCCTTTATTAGTAATTTCATCCAGATAAGTTCTGAAGAATACCATTGTATTCGCGCAAACGATGAAATATAAAGTAGTATATTGAGGGATGGAGAATATGCTGAGAATATGAGCAGCGAGTTGGTTGCAGCAGGTTCTGAAGTTCATTAATGAACACACTATGCACGTAAAGATTCATGGCATTTCCGGCTGATATGAGACAAAAACTTTTGAGGAGACATGTTACAGTTTCTCAGAAGACGGTTGTGGAATACATTGATTAATGAATTGATTAAAGAAGAAATCATCACCCGAGTGCAGGACATGCATGTTTGCGAGCACGAAACTCGAACTGGTCTATTGTGTAGATTTCAAAGAATCGATAAGAGTCGCCTCGAGTATGCAGAATGTAATCGGTCTAAAAGCTTCCCATGGTATATATATCTGAAGGAAGTCGGAACACAACTCTGTGACCATTGGGACAACCGAATATTTCCATCCTCTTCTAAACCCTTGCCAAAACTTAAAACTGTAAGGTTCTGTATGGATCGAGGACCTCGAAAACAATATGCATGACCTCGAAACTGTGCAGCCAGGCCATGATAAGAGGCAAAGACCACATGTGTGGATGCGGAACATCGATAGGGCTTCGTTTTGATAATCCATGAGAGGAGCGGAGTGATACACCCTGAAAACCCTTCGCCAATCTTATGCTATCTTTCTAGGGTAACCGCTACCACACGCATTCTACGTTACATACCACGCTGTACGAAACCTTCTGGTGGTTTAAGAGAACCAGCATATACACAAGAATATTGGTTAATGACCTTCGAGTGGGAGCATTTCACATACCAATCAGAGCGCAGTATTGCTTCGTGAATGGAGTGCACTTGAGGAAACAACACACCACCGGTAACATCCACTTCCTCGAGACCATTCAGCATTCCTTCGTAAACCTTATTGCGTCGCGTTGCGTCACGCCACGTCGTGGTCGTCGTCGCCGTCGTCATCAGCAGCCTGCACCACTCAGCCACTCACTCACTCCTCGTCCGGCTTTCTATATATCCTATTTCTTCAAGCGTGCCTCCCGAACTCGAAACCAATCTCACGCCACTGCGTTTCTTGAACCATACATCAGACGTTGCGGTGACGAAGATATGGATCTTGAAAAAGACGAGGCTAGAAATTTGAACGTGCATGCAGCTTAGTGCAACGTAACGCCAACGTCGGCATGTAACCAATGTCAGTTAAAAAGGGCCTTAATCCTGCTCTAATCGGGTCCACACTTGAGAGTCCCGACCTCGGCATGCATCCTATTATGTGTTGGTTTTCTTCGGGAGGAACATCCAATGCAGTGACAGTGAAATAGTCGAAGCGTCATCCGAGGCAAGATTCTTAGGGTTGAACAGGAGCGGTGCATGGCCCCTTCTGTTGACGTGACGATCGCCGTGAAATCACCGCCCCTACGGAATCGCTTTCCCGCGCAATCGGGTCGCAGCAATCCAATGTTGACACGTGTATGATTCTTTAATGCCAGCTCACATATTTGCCAAATCGGATGGACCCGTCATTGCATTACCGAAGCCGTCGATGGGAGGGTTCGATATCTCGTCGACCTTCGCTTCTGAGACGGTTTTGTCCAAGCCAGTTCCCATCCCAGGGAAGAGCTCTCAAAAGTGAATGCCACGTGGAGAATAATGATTCGAATACGATCTTGCAGGACATCGACCACTAATTGTGTTTCTTATTGTTGAGAATGTTTTTAAAGAGAGAGAGAAAAGAGTATCTAGAAGTAATGTACACACACATGTAAAAACACACACACACACACAAGGGAGTATATTGATATGGTTATCTTTCATATACAAAGAGAAGGGAAGAAGATAAACAATTTCTTCCTACTATATTCCAAACACTGTAGCTACAATATTTACTATAGATTATAGTAAATAATGTGGAGAGTGCTGGCTACATTTAATGCTTTCAACACTCATCTTTACTTGTCATAATATTTATATGTATAGAATTATGATCTATACTTTTTTTTTTATAATGTCACAAGATCAACAACTACTACCTCATTAAAACCTTATCTGAGAAAATTTTATTATATTTAAGGGCAAAACCATAGATGAAAGAAAAAGAATACAACATTATTTCAAGAGTTCATTAAATTTTTTATTCAAGGAAAGTAAGTCGCTTCATGCTAATGCCATAAGTAAGTCGGCGATGGTTGCACAAAAGAAGAGCTTTGGTGAGGAAATGAGTAAGGTTATTTGCAGATTCAATTTTCTTGATCTTAAGTACTTAATTAGTAACTAAGTCATGGATATAACTAAAATACTTTGGATGAATATGCTTTGTCCTATCGCCTTTAATGAAACCAACTTGCATTTATGCAACACGAGCATTATTGTCTTCATACAAGATAGTTAGAAAATCATCATATGAAAGTTTACAGGTTATTTGAATGAATTTATTAATTGATCCCAATCAAATATATTTCTGAGAGGCTTCATGTAAGGCAATAATTTTTGCATGGTTGGATGAAGTTATAGTTATAGTTTGTTTCACTGATTTCCATGATAATGCAGCTTCATGTCTAAAGAATATATAGCCTCTTTGACATTTAGGTGTTTCAATATTAGATTTATATCTTACATTAAAATATCCAACTAATTTTTGATCTATAGAGTATATGTAGTATAATTCCAAATCTTCAATGCCTTTTAAATAACGTAATAAATGTTTGATGTCATTTTAATGTTGTAGTATTGAACATTGTTGTATTATATAAAGTCTTACTTGAGAATGCACCAAGTACTTGGTTGTAGAAAGTATAATAGAAATTACAATAAAAAAATCTTAAATCTAATAGAATACTAAATAAATTCTAATTAAACCTTATTAATTCTAAGTAATCTTTAATCCAATTCAAATAAAATCTTCAAGAAATTACAAAAGAAAAAATAAGAAATCTTAAAAGAATTCAAATGAAATCCAGAATAAATCTTAAAAGAATTCCTAAGAAATCTTTAAGAAAAATTAGAATAATCACAAATATATCTTAAATAAATTTCAACCAAGTCTTAATTTAATCTTAGTTGAAACCCAAATGAACTTCAATCAAACCTTAGGCCAAACCCTAAATCCTAAGCAAATCATAAATCTTAAATTCTAAGCAAACCTTAAATCCTAAATCCTAAGTAAATCCTATCTTTTCTTCTTTTTCTTTTTGCAAGCTATCTTAATGCCTCATCCATTTTATTCGATTTTTTTATCAATTCTTTATCTTCTTCTTTATTTTCAAGTAGGATTTCCAACTTCTCTTGTAACTCTCCATCAACTGCTTGAAGAAAAAGTTCTACTTTTTTTAGATCTAATAATTGCATCTTTTTTTGATAAATAAGAATATTGCTTTTTAAACTCCCTTAATAATTGTGTTGCTAGAAGATCTTTTTTTGGCCTTTCAATCCATTCAAAAAATGACTTCTTTCTAATCATCTTACTATCTTCCAAGAAAAACTCATCTTTCAAAGCTTGAAAAAATTTCTCCTATGAACCTCCAAAATATTTTATAAGGAAACTTACTTGATTTCTTATTTGTGATGCAATAGGTAGTTTAAGTAATTGAACCATCTTTCTTTTTGGAACATACTTCAATTCCATTTCTTTTACATAGCACCTTAAATATTTTATAATGGCTTTCTGTAAAAAGGTATAAATAAGATAATTATATAGATAGTTAGAACCATGGAAGTTTCTAGAATTAGGGTTATATTAATGGACTAAATAGGATCCATCATAGATCATTCTAAAAAGAGTTTAAGGTAATTATTTAGATAGAATCTATTATAGAATCTTCTAAAAAAAGACTTAAGGTGGTTATTTAGGTAGAGCCTACTACCTAAGAATATTTTAGAAAATACAAGGTGGTAGAATAAGGTATAAATAGGACTTCTCAAGGTCTTTTGGGGCATCTAATCAGATGAGGCTTCATATCCTTTCTCTTAGTAAAATTTGATTTTACATCCTTTTATTCAATTCAGTTTTGTTATGTTTCCATTTGCTTAGTTTGTCTTTCATATCCTATTTTGTTTACTTCCGTTCAATTTTGTTTTGGTTTGTTTCGTTCCATTTTATAATGATATTTTATATTGCTATGAAATAGAAGGATCTTAGATTTTTGAGATAGTCTAGTCCTGTTTCATTAATATCAGAGTGAGTGTTAAATTATTTACTTTTGGTAGTGTATCAATAGTCATCATTTAATCCAACGCCAATTATTGTAGTCACACTTGGTACTATATTGAGGCTACCATGAGCTACTTTTAAAAAATCAATCAAGAGATGAAAAGATATTATAATAATAGAATTCAGCAAAGAAATTATAGTATAAGAGATATGGTAAAGCAATCTTAGATAAAGGCTAAAAAACAACACCTCTTAGGTCACATAGTTACTTTGAACACGTAAATAAAAGCCTTGAGGATAAGAGATTTGACATTTGCTAAGTTGAAATTGAATAAGTCTAGTACATACTTTGGAACTTCAAGACAAGAAGATGTATGTTAATGGCTCTTCAATATGTAACAATACTTCTAAATATCTAGGGCAAATACCATTGAAAGATTATATATGCTGTCAGCTATTTGAGAGAATGGCAGCCATTTGGTAGTGACATTGAGTTCAAAGCTATTAAGCTCAAGGTGGATTTTGTGACTGGAAGGAGTTTGAGACTGAGTTTAGGAATCAATTTTGGCCCATCAATGCATAAAAGATAGCATGCATTTAGTTGATAAATCTTATACAAGTTAACTTGGTGCAAGATTATGACTCTAAATTTAAGTCTTTATGTCTCCAAATTGAAAATATTTTGGAGGCAAAGATGAAGGATCGACTCTTACGAGGTTTGAAATCTAGAGTCAAGCGAGGGTCAATGCTTTAGATTTCAAAAATTATAGAACATGACCTATAATATAAAGTCTTATGCTACTATCTAATATTACAGTGTTGTATTGTGTGGTTTTTTATTTGAGAATACACTAGATATCTAGATGTAAAAAGTTTAATTTTAACTTATTATCCAAGCTCTTGTAAATTATTTAGCCTTTATAGAAGACAAATAAATACTACAATATCAAAAAGATATTATATTAGTAAAACATTTTATATTTAAGAAGGTTGTATATAAGGCTTTCTAAAATATCTAAAAATTTCCAAATACTCTTGGTTATATCAAATCAAAACTAACCATTTGCTGGTAAGTTAGATTTTCAATAATTTCAAAGAAAATCCATAATCTCTTCTCAAAAGCTCACTTTTATATCAAAATTTAACCAAAGCTCTATATATCCTTCTTCAATATATATGTAAAGTCATGACTTCCAAAAAACCTCTTTATTTTGTATAAAATGCTTAAATTATAATAAAACCCCTTCAAAACATATTTTTCTTGTAAAGGATTATTTCTTCTTGAACTTCAAAAATTCATATTTCTTGATCTAACTATTCAATTTTTGTCAAATTCACAAAAATTATAGAATTTACTCTTAATCTTTACTTTAAAAAAATTCAATTATAAATTTGCTACCAATCATCTAGCATCTTAAACCACCTAATAGGTACTCTAATATCCTAATTCACAAGTACTCGAGTACTATTTTCTTCATATCTTACAAATTCAAAATCCAAATGTCACAAAACTTATGTATAAAATTTAATAACATAAAAATATATATTTTTAGAAATTTTTAGCCAAAATCTTGTCAAATTACACAAGATATTGCTCCAAATACAACTACTAGTAATTTGGGTCACTTACTACTCCTTAGATTCCAAGCTTTGACTTCAACTTCTAATATCTTCTTCATTCTAGCTTATAATTCATCAAACAATATACACAAAGTATAGCCAAAAAAGTGCTCTCTTTAATCTTAGATCTATTCTCCATTGCTTTCTATACACGTGTGTTATATCCTAAAGAGTGATAGTAGGTACAAAACCAATACCTTGACTTTAAGCGCCTATATTTTCTTCATAAAAACTCCAAATGACTCAAATTTTGCACCAAAACTATTGCCAAAAACTTGAACTTGATGACCTTAGCTTTTGATATTTGAATCCTTTCAAAAGACTAACCCTAATCCCTAATATGGCCTTAGGTAGCCTTCTTGAAGCCCATTTGTCATGATTTTTGACCAATAGGAATAGAGATTTATATCATCCATCTCCATTCATTCATATGGGTGCCCTAGCTACCTTTTTTGCTACCAAAATCCCTCTTCAATCTCTTTTCATATAAGATTTACATATTATATGCCTTAAACATCAAATTAAAGAACCAAAATAAAACTTTAAAGGTCACCAATGTCAAAAAAAGGTGACTCTAA